ACTATTCCTATTTAAAATCCTTTAATTTTCTCCCTCCACTGCAGTTGCCAGTGCCCCCCCCCCCCAGATAAGTGAACCCATCCCTAGCATACATGTCATTTCTGCCATAGAAGAGGTCCCTTGTCAATAATGTTACCGCATTTTCCTTACAGTATTTTTTCCCCCAGCAATTGACACCAATTGCCCCGGACAACCATTCCCCTTCCAACTCCCCCCCTTGGCAAAATACCACAATGAGAGGGTTTCCCCCCCTTAATTCTAATTTTTTTCTATTCTGGGCCCCTTTTCCTTCCCAATCAGGGCCCCACTTCCCAAATTTTGCCAACATCGTTGCCTCCAGCCCGGGGAAGATAAAAGGATTGCTCCCATTTCCTTTTCCCTGATGTCATCCCCGAGGGTAACAAATTTTCCCCCCCTCCCAGCCCCGGGAAAACAAAATCTCTGTCTTTCCCACTCCTGTCCTTTAAGCAGAACGCCCCCTCCATATACCTAACTTGGCTATCCCCAACAACCCAAAATATTCTTACATTCCTTAATTTTCTTTCCCTTTGTGTCCGTTCCCCGTAGTCAACCACATTCGTCGGGGGAGCCCGGAATTATTGGATGTTTCCACAACAGTTTCCACGGCAGTCCTTTCTTTTCATCGTTTTTTTTTACCTTTCCATTCGTCTTCTTGATCGCAACTTCTTTCCCCCGCCGTCCAGCCACGAAACCCGTTTCCCTTCTTTACCTGAAGGGTCAAAACAGGAGGAAACCCAAATACGAATTTTCTTGTTTTCCCCCCGGTCCCTTTGCCTAATTTCCAAAATTTTTCCCCCAAACCCCAAATTTTTCCTTAAGGGTGTTGGTAAATTGCTCAATGGAGGGGATCTTGCTTCATTCAAAAGAGGCGCAAAAAGGTCTTACAGAGCCCAAGTACAAAGTCAACATGAAATTTGGGGTGTGTTGTGTGTTGTGTGTGTGTGTGTGTGTTGGTTTTGTGTGTGTGTGTGTGTGTGTGTGTGTGTGTTTTTGTGTGTGTGTGTACTCACCTATTTGTTTTCGCTATTTGTGGTTGAAAGGGGGGGAGTCATAGCTCCTGGCCCCCCTCCTTTTAAAAGATTGCTACTAGGTCCTCTCTCTCCCTGCCCCATGAGCTTTGTCCTTAACCTCGCCTTAATTCTATGTTTGGTTTCCCCCCCCCCAAAAATCATTTCTAGGCTTTTTCCACGGCCTGACTACTCTTTGACGAAGAAATACTTTTTCCTTTAAAATCCCTTTTAATCATCTGATCTTCAAAAATTCCCCAAAGTGACCTCTTTTGTCTGTTCCCCTTTTCTGGAACATTTCCCCTCTTTGTAAAACCCTTTTCTAAATTTCCCCCCCCTGTATATTATATGCCCTTTCATGTCTTTCCCCGACCCCCTTTCCTCCAGTGTCGTCAGGCCGATTTCCCTCAACCTTTTTCGTAGGACAATCCCTTTAGCTCTGGGAAGCTTGTTGCAAACCTTTGCACTTTTTCTAATTTCTTTACGTGCTTGACTAAGGGGTGGTTTCCAAAATGGGGGCGCACACTCCAGTATGGGCCCCGACGTAAAAAGGGAAAAGGTCTTGAAAAGAATCCCCTTTCTGAGGGATCGGAACCCCAAACCGTAAAGGGTTTTCCAGGGGCCGTTTTGCGCAGCAGTTAAATTTATTGAGTGCGCCTCAGGGGATTTTGCTCGGGGTTTTACTCCCCCCCAGATTTTTTTCCTTGATTTAGGTTTGCAGTCTTTGGCCTTCTTAACTATATTGTGTCTGCGGTCTTCTTTGTCCTTCCCCAATCTTCATGACTTTGCATTTGGCAGGGTTAAACTCAAGGAGCCAGTTGCTGGACCAGGCGTGTAGCCTGTCCAGGTCTCTTTGTAGTCCTGCCTGATCCTCATCCGATTTGATTCTTCTCATTAACTTCACATCATCTGCAAACAAGGACACTTCTGAGTCTATCCCTTCCGTTACGTCATTCGCATATACCAAGAACAGCACAGGTCCTAGGACTGACCCCTGTGGAACCCCGCTTGTCACAGGCGCCCACTCTGACACCTCGCCACGTACCATGACTCGTTGTTGCCTCCCTGTCAGGTATTCTCTGATCCATTGCAGTGCCTTTCCTGTTATGTGTGCCTGATCCTCTAGCTTTTGCAGTAACCTCTTGTGAGGAACTGTGTCGAAGGCCTTCTTGCAGTTCAAAAAAATGCAGTCGATCCACCCCTCTCTCTCTTGTCTTACTTCCGTCACCTTGTCATAAAACTCCAGTAGGTTTGTGACACGGGATTTTCCTTCCCTGAAACCGTGCTGGTTGTCATACACTTGTTTCTTTCCAGGTGCTCCACCACTCTCCTCCTGATGATCTTCTCCATGACTTTGCATACTATACACGTTAGTGATACAGGTCTGTAGTTTAGTGCCTCATGTCTGTCTCCCTTTTTAAAAATTGGGACTACATTTGCCATCTTCCGTACACCAGGGAGTTGCCCAGTTTCAATTGATGTGTTGAAGATCTTTGTTAATGGCACACACAGTATCTCTGCTCCCTCTCTAAGGACCCACGGAGAAATTTTGTCTGGTCCCACCACCTTTCAGATGTCAAGTTCGCATAGCAGCTTCTTCACCTCCTTCTTGGTTATATGTACCTCATTCAGCACTTGCTGGTGTACCCCTTGTTCTCATTTCCTGGAGTCCTACTGGTTTCCACTGTAAATACTTCTTTAAATCTCTTTTTGAGCTCCTGACATACCTCTCGGCCGTTTCTTGTGAACTCCCCATCACCCTTCCTCAGTCTGATTACCTGGTCCTTGACTGTTGTTTTCCTCCTGATGTGGCTGTACAATAGCGTTGGGTCAGACCTGACTTCCGATGCTATGTCATTTTCATATTGTCGCTGAGCCTCCTTTCTTATCTGTGCATATTCGTTTCTGGCTCTTCTGCTAATCTCTTTATTTTCCTGAATTCTCTGCCTTCTGTAGGTTTTTCATTCTCTAGTACACCTAGTTTTTGCCTCCCTACACCTTTGGGTGAACCAAGGACTCGTTCTGTTCTTCCCATTATTTCTGTTTCCCTTGGGAACAAACCTCTCCTCTGCCTCCTTGCATTTTGTTGCCACATAGTCCATCATTTCTTATAATGGTTTTCCTGTCAGTTCCCTCTCCCACCGAATGTCTTGCAGGAAGTTCCTCATGCCTAAGTAGTTCCCCCTTTTGTAGTTTGTTTTTTTTGCAACCTATTCCTGCTACTCTCTCCACTTGAAGCTCAACTATGTAGTCGAAGCACAGAACCACATGATCACTAGCTCCCAGGGGCCTTTCATACTAGGTATGAAAGGTGAATACAAGGTCCAGTCTTGCTGGTTCATCCTCTCCTCTCTCTCTGGTAGTGTCTCTAACATGTTGATGCATGAGGTTTTCCAGTACCACATCCATCATCTTGGCTCTCCATGTTTCAGGACCCCCATGGGGCTCCAGGTTTTCCCAGTCAATCTCCTTGTGATTGAAATCATCCATAACTAGTAACTTTGCTCCCCCCATGTGTGCTCTCCTGGCCACCTCGGCTAGTGTGTCGACCATTGCTCTGTTGCTCTCATCGTATTCTTCTCTTGGCCTCCTGCAGTTCTGTGGTGGATTGTTCATTACTGCAATTATCACCTTATGTCCCTCAGACTGGATAGTTCCTACTAAGTAGTCCCTTTCGCCCGTGCCATCCATTTTTTCCAGTTTCTCAAAACCCCACTGGTTTTTAATGAGCAGAGCAGCTCCTCCTCCACCTCTCCTCCCTCTGTCTTTCCTGAGGATTTGATATCCGGATGGAAAGATTGAATCTGTTATATTCTGGTGAGTTTTGTTTCTGTGAGTGCTATTATGTCTGGGGATGTCTCCTTGATTCTTTCATGCCGCTCCTCATACTTATTTGTTATTCCATCTGCATTTGTATACCACACCTTCAACTTCTTTTCTAAGAGTTTGGTCTGCGAGGTATATTGGGGTTGGGGAAGTGGGAGACCTGATAAGGAACTATAGGTGGTTGCTGTGGGGGTGAAGTTTGTAATGCAGTGGGTGAGGGCATTGGATATGGCATGGGTGTTTTGGCTTAGAGTGTTTGGTTGCACTGGGGTTCACCTGGTTGGGTGTGTGTGTGTGAATGCGTACTCACCTAATTGTGGTTGCAGGGGTCGAGACTCAGCTCCTGGCCCCGCCTCTTCACTGGTCGCTATTAGGTCCTCTCTCTCCCTGCTCCATGAGCTTTGTCCTACCCTTCTCTCTCGTGTCTTACTTCTGTTACCTTGTCATAAAGCTCCAGTAGGTTTGTGACGCAGGATTTGCTTTCCATGAATCCGTGCGGGTTGTCGTTTATAATCTTGTTCCGTTCCAGGTACTCCACTACTCTCCTCCTGATAATCTTCTCCATGACTTTGCATGCTATACACGTCAGTGACACTGGTCTATAGTTTAGTGCCTCGTTTCTGTCTCCTTTCTTAAAAATGGGGACTACATTTGTTGTCTTCCATACCTCAGGTAGTTGCCCAGTTTCAAGAGATGTGTTAAAAATTGTGATTATTGGCTCACACAGCATCTCTACTCCCTCTCTAAGGACCCAGGGAGAGCTGTCCCGTCCCACCACCTTTGAGGTATTAAGGTCACTTAGCAGCTTCTGCACCTCCTCCTCGGTTGTGTGTATTTCATTCAACACTTGTTGGTATATCCCTTGTTGGTGTATCCCTCTGTTCTTTAAATCTCGTGTTGAGCTCTTCACATTCTGCTTGGTAGTTTCTTGTGAGCTCTCCACCTTCTTTCCTCAGCCTGATTACCTGGTTCATGACTGTTTTCTTCCTCTTGATGTAGCCATATAGCAGTTTCGGGTCAGACTTGACTTTCGATGCTGTGTACGTATGTGTGTGAGTGTGCGTATGTATTTAAGTGTGTGTATTGTGTTTTTGTGTGTACCTTATTCCTCGAAGTATACGTGTGCCTCGTTCCCTGTTTTCCCAGGTAGCCCGGGCGTCATCACAGCTGTGTGTACCCGACTGCACAGGCAGGAAAGAGGGAGACCTGGTAAAAGACCCTGCCAACTGTCTTCAATATTACGTCTGTAGCGACCCAGATGGGGACGGTGTCCTCCCCATAGAGCCGTCTCTCTTCCCTCTCGAATGCGAAGAAGGGTGAGTCCAATTAACTTTTCTCTGTGTTTTATATCAAATTTGGCTTGTCAACTTGAAGAAAGTTTTATTGACCTAAAGGGGTTTACAGTTTATCATGGACAAAATAAAAACAATATGGTTTTTATAAAAACGGGGATATATCCCTCATTGTATATACAGCTCAAATATGATCAGCAAAAAAAATGTAGTTTTTAGATATACACACATGAGAATGCATTTTTCAGTTATATAATGAAAATTTATGAAACATTTAAAAACTTCATTTCCAGTCATTCAAAAAATTTTTATTTTTGAAATCAAAAACCCATATAGATTAAGTTCCTTTTGAAAGAAATTTTAAATTGCAAAATAAGAATTCAAAATTGTGATGATTTCATACACAGGTGTGATAAACATAATTATGGTATTAAATACCAACAAGGGGATAAGTAAGAAATTGACAATAGCTAAGTTCTTTTTCCGAAACTTTTCGCCTACCAGTGGCTTCTTTAGTCGAACACAGAGGGGCGGGAGGGGGGAGAAGCTGCAGTGGAAAGGGGCTGACCACCTCATAACTCTTTATGGGTTTATGATTGACTCGTCTTTACCCCATGTTCGTTTCTCCAAAAAGTTGATCTTTTTTCCACGATGAATCGCTGCTAGAATGTTTTAGGTTGTCCTCGTGTAATAACTTATGTGTACCTTTTATTTAATCCGCATTATTAAAGGGCCAGCATTTTGTAACAGAGACGTAAGGTCAAAAGAGAGGTCAGACAGGAGTGTGTCTTTCCCGGAGCTGGTGTTGGGGACATAGTCAGCAGGTTGGGTAATATTATGGGGGTAATGGGGAAAAACCCGTTACGCTTAGTGCTGGGGGTAGACCTGGGAAAGGGGAGGGGAGAGGAGCCTGGGTAAGTACAGGCAGCCTAGAAGTATTGTTTAAGGAGGGATCCCCGTCATATGAGCATCTTTCCTAGAAAGGGAGTGGGAATGAATGGGGTCTAGGGGAATTGGTAAAATTTCGGGTAGATAGGTACTGCAAGGAACTTGCAAATTTATTGAAACTGGGACCCATTCTTTGACAAACGTGATATGTTGCAAGGGGTGGGGGTTTATCTCTCTGGGGGATGGAGTGGGTTTCATTAGCCAATTCATTGAGGGGTAATTGTGACTTGTCTAGGAAATTTTAAAATTTATGATTATAGAGGTATGGGTGTTTGTGGGAAAAAATCAGGCTGCAGCATTAGGGTTAAAAAAGCAATTATTACCAGGATACCAGGGATTGTTTAAAAAAAATATTCAAAAAAAGTTGCTAGAATGGCAAATCAATTTTACAACAAACAAAAAGAGATAGTAAGGGGGAAAGAGTGGTACTCCCCCAAGGAGGGGTCTAAGAAAAAAAGATAGATGAGCTAAGATTACTTGCAATGTAGGTAATATAGAAATTTTTGGTAAAAACAGAGACCGGTTCAACCTGAAAGAAAGAGAAATGCCTTTTGAATGCAACATACAGCGTTATAAACTATTCCACACTGATAGGGTCAACAGGAAGGGTGGTGGAGTGGTGATGTTTGTCAGAGAAAATTTAAATTGTTGTCTTAGACATGATATAAGATTAGAAACATCGAACACAGAATCTGTTTGGCTACAGTTTCTCGAGGGACGTGACAAATTAATTTTGGGTGTGATTTATAGGCCCCCAAACCTTGACAGGGAGTGCAGTAAGCTGTTATGGGACGAAATTCATAAGGCATCTAGATATGAAAATGTTGTTATAATGGGAGATTTTAACTTTAGACAAATTGATTGGAACAATATGACAGGAAATCTTGAGTCTAGTGACTTTCTTGATACGGTTCAGGATTGCTTCTTAGAACAGGTTGTGACAGAACAAACTAGAGGAAACAATCTGCTTGACTTAGTTCTTGCCAACCATGATTCACTAATTAATAATCTTGAGGTTAATGATGAGCTTGGGGAAAGTGATCACAAATCACTTAGTTTTAATATATCATGGAATTACCCAGATAACTGCAATCAAATCTCTGTCCCAGATTTTCGCTTGGCCGACTTAATGGGACTGAAAAATTACCTGGGTGAGCTAAATTGGGATGTCCTGACTATGGGTCAGGTAGGTGATCTTGGTTGCCAATACGACGTTTTTCAGAGCATAGTTCTAGCTGCCCAGACAACTTTTGTTCCGAGTAGGGAAATTAGATCTAACAAAAATTATCCCAAATGGATGAACAATAGATTAAAACATCTCACTGGTCAAAAGAGAGGCATATATAGGCGTATCAAAAGAGGGGATGGGCAGTTAAGAAACCAATATATTCAATTAAAGAGAGAAATTAAGAAAGGAATAAGAAAAGCAAAAATGGATTATGAGGCTAGGGTGGCAAGGGATTCAAAGATTAACCCTAAAGGATTCTTTCAGGTATACAGAAGTAAGATTAGGGACAAGATTGGCCCACTTAAGAGTAACTCTGGTTAGATCACTGACAGTGATAAGGATGTGTGTGAAATTCTCAATACCTACTTCCTCTCAGTTTTCACACAGGAAAATACTAGCGATATTCCTGAAATAATAGATTATGTAGAACAGGATGATAATAAACTATGTACGATTGCAGTAACTAGTGACATGGTCCTCAGACAAATAGAGAAACTAAAACCTAACAAATCCCCAGGCCCTGATGAACTGTTTGCAAGGGAATTAAAGGAATGTAACGAGGAACTTAGCGTACCTTTGGCTAATCTTTTTAACATATCACTACAAACTGGCATAATGCCTGATAAGTGGAAAATGGCAAATGTAATACCTATTTACAAGGCAGGTGACAGGTCCTTGGCTTCGAACTATAGACCAATAAGCCTTACCTCCATAGTGGGAAAAATTATGGAATCAATAATTGCCGAAGCAATTCGTAGCCATCTTGACAGGCACAGATTGGTTAATGAATCTCATCTCTTACGAATTTACTAACTTTTTTCACTAAGTTGTTTGAGGAGGTAGATCATGGTAATGAATATGATATTGTGTATATGGACTTCAGTAAGGCTTTCGATAGAGTTCCAAACCAGAGGCTATTGAGGAAACTTAAAGCACACGGAATAGGAGGAAAAATTTTTTCCTGAGTAGAAGCATGGCTGACAAATAGACAGCAGAGAGTTTGCATAAATGGGAAGAAATCAGAATGTGGGGCATGTCACAAGCGGTGTTCCTCAGGGATCAGTGTTGGGCCCGTTGTTGTTCACAATTTACATAAACGACATAGATGAGGGAATAAATAGCGACATAAGCAAATTTGCTGATGACATCAAAATAGGCCGTCCAATTCATTCTAATGAGGACACTAGAGCACTCCAGGATGATTTGAATAGACTGATGCAATGGTCGGAGAAGTGGCAGATGCAGTTTAATATTGACAAATACAAAGTTCTAAATGTTGGACAGGTAAATAACCATTCCACATATAAACTAAATAATGTAGATCTTAATACTACTGATTGTGAAAAGGATTTAGGAGTTCTGGTTAGCAGTAATTTAAAACCAAGACAACAGTGCATTAGTGTTCGCAATAAAGCTAACGGAATTCTTGGCTTCATATCTTGAAGTATAAATAATAGACGTCCTCAGGTTGTTCTTCAACTCTATATATCCTTGGTTAGGCCTCATTTAGACTATGCTGCTCAGTTCTGGTCACCGTATTACAGAATGGATATAAATGCTCTGGAAAACGTACAGAGGAGGATGACGAAGATGATCCCATGTATCAGAAATATTCCCTATGAGGATAGACTGAGGGCCCTGAATCTGCACTGTCTCGAAAGGCGTAGAATTAGGGGGGATATGATCGAGGTGTATAAATGGAAAACAGGAATAAATAAAGGGGATGTAAATAGCGTGCTGAAAATTTCCAGCCAAGACAGGACTCGCTGCAATGGTTTCAAGTTGGAAAAATTCAGATTCAGAAAGGATATAGGAAAGCACTGGTTTGGTAATAGAGTTGTGGATGAGTGGAACAAACTCCCGAGTACAGTTATTGAGGCTAAAACGTTGTGTAGTTTTAAAAATAGATTAGATAAATACATGAGTGCGTGTGGGTGGGTGTGAGTTGGACCTGACTAGCTTGTGCTGCTGGGTCTGGTGCAGTGCTCCATCCTTGAGCGGAGGTGACCAGACTGGGTGGGTCATTAGGCTAATCCGGAGGGGGACATGGACCAGCTCTGCATGGGTCAGTAGGCTTATTGCAGTGTTCCTTCTTTCTTATGTTCTTATTTAAATATTTGTATACAAACAAAACCTCCCCAAGACAAATCCCATTCAAAAACCACACAACAAAAAACCAAACATGGAAAATATTCCTGTAATTCATTAAAGTTTGAATTTGTTTAGCTAAGTTATGTCAGGTTAAGTTGCTAAAAGTAACACGTGCATTGCTATCATTATTTACATCACCATGATGAAATTAAGACACAAGTGCAACATCTGGGTATCTTTATTGTAGACGTTTCGCCATCCAGTGGCTTTATCAATACAAAATCTAGGACATTTGTATTGATAAAGCCACTGGATGGCGAAACGTCTACAATAAAAGATACCCAGATGTTGCACATGTGTCTTAATTTCATCTTGTCGGTATTATATACCATTCTTGCACTACATCACCATGAAAATCAAAACAACTCAACTCAATAATCCAACTCCGTTATCTATTCCATATCCAAGATTAAGTAAACATTTCGTAACGGGGGAAAGTCTTAGAATTTAAAAAATACATGAATACAGATACTCTTTCGAAGAAATTGTTCATGTCTGTACCATAAGCCACAACACTAATAAACATGAAATTCCAAGAAGCAGTGCTTGTTACCATGAACTTCCATCACTACCACCAACACCATCGCTCATGGCAGTGATAATTCTCTATCTGCTTAATGGCTGCTGTTTCTTAACTCGCCACAAACAGGCCAAGTTATTTATCATTTGTTATAGGCATGTGTCTGCGGACAAGTGCCTGTGGCAAACGGTAACTAACTGAGGTGCCCGGTAGCTGGGTTGGGAGCGCAGTCAGCTCACTCACTGAGGTCCATGGTTCGATCCCTGATACAGTTGCAATCACTGGGGCGTGTTTCCTTAAGACAACTGCTGTCCCTGCCCACCTAGCAGTAATTAGGTGCCTGAGTATTAGTCGACTGGTGTGGGTCGCATCCAGAAGACAATATTAACCTAAGTTCCCCGAAATGCTCTGCATAACAAAACGCGACAGGAAACACTTGTCCTCTTTCCTGACAAATCTTACCAAACCTAACCTATGGTCTGTATAAGTTGCATCATGTACTTGTAGAAATAGATTATTGTTATTATATTATTGGCTTTCAAGGTGGATTGCCAATCTTCTTCGAAAGAAAACTGCAAACATTTATACTCGATAACCAAATCTAAAACTAAGCCTTTCATCTGTTTCTGGGGACATTCTACCAGTCTTATTCTGTGTGATACATCATATCAGTCTTATCCTGTGTGATACATCATATCAGTCTTATCCTGTGTGATACATCATATCAGTCTTATACTGTGTGATACATCCTACCAGTCTTACCCTGTGTGATTCGTCTTACCAATCTTACCCTGTGTGATTCGTCCTATCAGTCTTATCCTGTGTGATACATCCTGCCAGTCTTATCCTGTGTGATACATCATATCAGTCTTACTCTGTGTGATTCGTCCTACCAATCTTACCCTGTGTGATTCGTCCTACCAGTCTTATCCTGTGTGACACATCCTACCAGTCTTATCCTGTGTGACACATCCTACCAGTCTCATCCTGTGTGATACATCATACCAGTCTTACCCTGTGTGATTCGTCCTACCAATCTTACCCTGTGTGATTCGTCCTACCAATCTTACCCTATGTGATGCATCCTACAAGTCTTGTGTGATACCTCCTACCAGTCCAGTGGGATACATCCTACCAGTCTTATCCTGTGTGATACATTACCAGTCTTGTGTTTATATATCCTACCAGACTTGTATGATGCAAAAATACCAGTCTTATATTGTGTGATACGACCCACCAGTCTTATATTGTGTGATACGACCCATCAGTCTTATACTGTGTGATGCGACGATCCAGTCTTATATTGTGATACGAACCTCCAGTCTTATATTGTGTGATACGACCCACCAGTCTTATATTGTGTGATACGACCCTCCAGTCTTATATTGTGTGATACGACCCTCCAGTCTTATATTGTGTGATACGACCCTCCAGTCTTATATTGTGTGATACGACCCATCAGTCTTATACTGTGTGATACAACCCATCAGTCTTATAATGTGATACGACCAGCCAGTCTTACATTGTGTGATACGACCCTTCCAGTCTTATATTGTGTGATACGACCCTACAGTCTTATATTATGTGATACGACCCACCAGTCTCATCTTGTCAGTCTTAAACTGTGTGATGCGACGATCCAGTCTTATATTGTGATACGACCCACAAGTCTTACATTGCGTGATACGACCCACCAGTCTTATATTGTGTGATACGACCCTACAGTATTATATTGTGTGATACGACCCACCAGTCTTATCTTGAGTGATACGACCCACTAGTCTCATCTTGTGTGATACGACCCACCAGTCTTATATTGTGTGATACGACCCAAAAGTCTTATATTGTGTGATACGACCCTACAGTCTTATATTGTGTGATACGACCCACCAGTCTTATCTTGAGTGATACGACCCACTAGTCTTATATTGTGTGATAAGACCCACTAGTCTTATATTGTGTGATACGACCCACCAGCCTTATATTGTGTGATACGACCCACCAGTCATATATTGTTTGATACGACCCACCAGTAATATATTGTTTGATACGACCCACCAGTCTTACATTGTGTGATACGACCCACCAGTCTTACATTGTGTGATACGACCCACCAGTCTTACATTGTGTGATACGACCCACCAGTCTTATCTTGCGTGATACGAGCCACCAGTCTTATCTTGTGTGATACGACCCACCAGTCTTATATTGTGTCATACGACCCACCAGTCTTATATTGTGTCATACAACCCACCAGTCTTACATTGTGTGATACGACCCACCAGTCTTATATTGTATGATACGACCCACCAGTCTTATATTGTGTCATACGACCCACAAGTCTTATATTGTGTCATACGACCCACCAGTCTTATCTTGTGTGATACGACCCACCAGTCTTATCTTGTGTGATACCACCCACCAGTATTATCTTGTGTGATACGACCCACCAGTCTTATCTTGTGTGATACGTCCCACCAGTCTTATCTTGTGTGATACGACCCACCAGTATTATCTTGTGTGATACGACCCACCAGTCTTATCTTGTGTGATACGACCCACCAGTCTTATATTGTGTGATACGACCCACCAGTATTATCTTGTGTGATACGACCCACCAGTATTATATTGTGTGATACGACCCACCAGTCTTATATTGTGTCATATGACCCACCAGTCTTATATTGTGTCATATGACCCACCAGTCTTATATTGTGTGATACGACCCACCAGTATTATCTTGTGTGATACGACCCACCAGTCTTATATTGTGTGATACGACCCACCAGTATTATCTTGTGTGATACGACCCACCAGTCTTATATTGTGTGATACGACCCACCAGTATTATCTTGTGTGATACGACCCACCAGTCTTATATTGTGTGATACGACCCACCAGTATTATCTTGTGTGATACAACCCACCAGTATTATATTGTGTGATACGACCAACCAGTCTTATATTGTGTGATACGACCCACCAGTCTTATATTGTGTGATACGACCCACCAGTCTTACATTGTGTGATGGTCGGAGAAGTGGCAGATGCAGTTTATTATAGACAAATGCAAAGTTCTAAATGTTGGACAGTTAAATAGCCATTCCACATAAAAACTAAATAATATAGATCTTAATACTACTGATTACTAAAAGGATTTAGGAGTTCTGGTTAGCAGTAATCTAAAACCAAGTTAATAATGGATTAGTGTTCAAAATAAAGCTAACAGAATCCTTGGCTTCATATCTTGAAGTATAAATAATAGAAGTCCTCAGGTTGTTCTTCAACTCTATATATCCTTGGTTAGGCCTCATTTAGACTATGCTGCTCAGTTCTGGTCACCGTATTACAGAATGGATATAAATGCTCTGGAAAACGTACAGAGGAGGATGACAAAGATGATCCCATGTATCAGAAATCTTCCCTATGAGGATAGACTGAGGGCCCTGAATCTTCACTGTCTAGAAAGATGTAGAATTAGGGGGATATGATTGAGGTGTATAAATGGAAAACAGGAATAAAAAAGGGGATGTAAATAGCGTGCTGAAAATTTCCAGCCAAGACAGGACTCGCAGCAATGGTTTCAAGTTGGAAAAATTCAGATTCAGAAAGGATATAGGAAAGCACTGGTTTGGTAATAGAGTTGTGGATGAGTGGAACAAACTCCCGAGTACAGTTATTCAGGCTAAAACGTTGTGTAGTTTTAATAATAGGTTAGATAAATACATGAGTGGGTGTGCGTGGGTATGAGTTGGACCTGACTAGCTTGTGATACTAGGTCTGATGCCGTGCTCCTTCCTTAAGTGGAAGTGACCTGACTAGGTGGGTCATTAGGCTGATCCGGGAGGGAGGGACATGAACCTGCTTCGCGTGGGTCAGTGGGTCTGCTGCAGTGTTCCTTCTTTCTTATGTTCTCTTATTTTTATGATACGACCCTCCAGTCTTATATTGTGTGATACGACCCACTTGTCTTATATTGTGTGACACGACCCACTATTCTGTCTACATCCAGTAGTGACTCTCAGTTTTTTCTTCAGGTATTACTTCAATTCAGCTGAAAATGTGAGGCAATGTGAGAAGATAGATCCTTCTGATGACTATTGCAAAGGTCTCTGCAGCCCGTGTTTAGTCCAATGTGAGACTCCAGGTTAGTATGGTCATGTAATGTTGCTAGTCTGTCTGTCTGCTGTCTGTCTGTCTCTGTCTGTCTGTCTGTCTGTCTGTCTGTCTGTCTGTCTGTCTGTCTGTCTGTCTGTCTGTCTGTCTGTCTCTCTCTCTCTCTCTCTCTCTCTCTCTCTCTCTCTCTCTCTTTACACATGGTTTGACAAGTTTAAGGATCCCTAGCTTCACTGACAAGCTATTTACAGGTTAAGGATTCCTAACTTTATTAACAAGCTAAGAGCTGTTACCTACATCAGCTTATTTGAAAGCATTTTTATGGTTATGAGACATACAAGTAGGGAACAGGATGAAGTTGAAGCCATCTGTTGGCCAGCATTTTCATTTGATCAACTGACTTTATCTCGTTGACATCATAATGCTGAACGAATGTGTTCCATACTCGAGTCATCCTGGGGATAAATGATCTAAGATGAAGTGACGTTCTGGAGAAGGGTACAGCCAGAGTGAAGTTGCTGCTTTCTGCCTGTCTTGTGGTATAGAAACTTGCTTCACGCTGTCCTCGAAGTGGAGCCAAGTGTGGTACTTTGACAATACTGGCCTTGTACATAACAGTAAGGCCATCCACATCCCTCCTGTGTTGAAGGCTCTGCTGAAATGACAGATCTATCCAGGATGGGTCCAGGCGAGAGATGAGACTTCTTGCTCTGTTCTCTACTCTGTCAAGCAGTCGCAGATGAGAGGGGGGGGGGCAGGCAAACCAAGAAAGTGGAGCATACTCAAGGTGTGAGCGTACTTGTGCCTCGTACAGAATCTTGCAACCCCTACTGTCAAGCAGATGCGAGATACGGCGAAGTGCTGTAAGCTTCCTGGCTGCCTTGTTTGCAAGATTTACAACATGGTTCTTCATGGTCAGTCTGGAGTCAGATTTCACCCCAAGGATATCAACTTCTTTCCCAGGTGCCAACACCCTCCCACTCATCCTTACTACTGCACCGGCATTACCATCACGGTGCCTAGAGACCATCATCATTTGTGTTTTCTCAGGTGCAAATGTTACTTGCCATCTATTTCCCCAAGCTGATATAGCTCTTAGCTGATGATTGATGTAGCTTAGAGCAGCTGGCATTTCTTCTCTTGGATAAGTGAATGTTAGTGTACAGTCATCTGCATATGCATGGGATTCTGGGATGAGATGAAGGTCATTGAAGTAGACATTCCATAACAATGGTCTCAGCATGCTTCCTTGTGGAACACTTGCCCCAATAGGATGTCTCGCTGATTCCGTTCCATTAAGAACTACACTTAGAGATCTACCATGAAGGTAATCACTGAGGAGACATAGCGTAGAGCCTGCAATTCCCAGAGCTTGCAGTTTTGCTAAGAGGCCCTGGTGCCACACCCGGTCGAAAGCACCAGCAATGTCCCGTGCTACCACACAGCTGACTTTGGATTCATCCATTGACTGGTGCCACTTAGTGGAGAGGTTTAACAAGATCTTGTTAAGATAAGGTAACATTTTTTTTACGAATTTTTAACTCAGAAGGTTATCCACCCAGGATAATCCAAGAAAGTCGGTGCATCACCGAGGACTGTCTGTCTTATTTCCACTGGGGTCCTTCAGTCTTGTCCCTCAAGATGCGACCTACACCAGATGCCTACTTACTTCCTAGGTGAGCAAGGACAGCAAGAATAAGGAAACACGCCCAATGATTCTCCCCGGCCGGGGATCGAACCACGGACACTCATTGTGAGACGAAAGCGTTGCCTACCAGGCGCTACCCCATTGAGAACTACGCTTATAGATCTACCTGAGGAGACATGGAACATAGTCAGCGACTCCATGTACTTGCAGTTTTGTCAAGAGTCACTGGTGCCATACTCGTTGGAAAGCATCAGCAATGTCCAGTTCTTCTACACAGCTGACTTTGGATTCATCCAATGACTGGTGCTAGAGTGTGGAGAGGTTAAACAACAGATCAGCACCTGTTCTCAAGCTTTATTGACGGTCACAAAGAAGTGAGTGGTAGTCAAAAAACCCCACCATCTGTCATGAGATTATATTAGCGAAATGCTACAAGCTAAGTTAAAGAGCAAATAATGGACTGTAATGGGACTTATCTTGAAAGACAGCTCCTGCCTACACAGCCGTCCCTGTAGGTGATGTCTTGAGAAGCTATCGTATGCACTACCTAAGGGCTGTGTGAAAAAAAATGTTATATAAGTATAATTACCCCTAGGGGGTGTTGTGTCAGCATATCTCACAAACTGATTGCTGACGGGAATCTATGCTCACATGTGTTGGGCTAAAAAGCCCGCCCATACCTGGGTTTATGGTAAATTACTAGATCATATCTTAGTTCTCAACTGCGCAGTCAATTGAACTACAGTACATTATAGTAGACATGCCTGGGTATATGTATCGGACCCTTATTAATAACCCGGGTATCGGTGTCTTGATTGAAGCAGACATCAGGAAATTTGCAGTACTCATTGTTACACTGTTCATCAAGATTTGTCTATGGTTCACAGTCATATCACTAAAGAAGCTGATCACACTTCTCTGTATCTGCTGAGTCTATTGCGACACTTTTATGGAAAAAAACGAGAGGATCAGTGTTCTTCGTTAGTTATCCCGGCCGCACTTCGCTTGCCCCCAGCTACAAAGAAAAAGCTGACATAGCATATTTCCCTTCCTTGCCAAACTTCCACCATGAAGCCAAGCAAAATGCTTGATTCTTGCTGTCTGGGCATAGACAACAATGTGTAGTATGTAATAAAGTTGGTAGTATTACCGACAATATGTAAAGTAAAAGGACACAAGTGCAACTAATGTGACATTTATTGTGGCAACGTTTCGCTCTCCAGGAGCTTTATCAAGCCATTACAAACAATACATGGACACAGAGGGTATATAAAGGCTCTGAGTGAGGTGCAATACTTGTGAGGTACCATTTCGATGTTCACTAGTGGTGGTAGTAGTAGAAGTAGTAGTAGTAGTAACAAAAATAATACAATATGGAAGAGCAATTAATTCGTACATGAGTAAAAGGATATAAAAGCTATTACTTGGGTAACATAAAAATAGGTTGGACAAATATAGACTGGAAAGAGGCAGGTTTTTTTCAGTGTTCACTCTCTGTAATGTGCTTTGTGTAGTATAACACTACACAATACTACACAAAGCACATTACAGAGAGTGAACACTGAAAAAACCTGCCTCTTTCCAGTCTATATTTGTCCAACCTATTTTTATGTTACCCAAGTAATAGCTTTTATATCCTTTTACTCATGTACGTATTAATTGCTCTTCCATATTGTATTATTTTTGTTACTACTACTACTACTACTACTACTACTACTACTACTACTACTACTACTACTACTACTACTACTACTACTACTACTACTACTACTACTACTACCACTAGTGAACATCGAAATGGTACCTCACTAGTATTGCACCTCACTCAGAGCCTTTATATACCCTCTGTGTCCATGTATTGTTTGTAATGGCTTGATAAAGCTCCTGGAGAGCGAAACGTTGCCACAATAAATGTCACATTAGTTGCACTTCTGTCCTTTTACTTTAATGTATAGTATCTTTAACATGGTAATAAAGTGGATGCAGGATTTTCCTTAATTGTCCTGCTAAGATAAGAGATTGATTGCCTTTCATTAAACCGTACTATTTGCAACACTGGTTTCTTGCAAGGAGTCGCATGACCTGTAACTGGTACATGCTGGTTAAACATCTGCTGGTTATTACTTGGGAAGTAAACAAGATGCTTGCCCCTTCTGAGAGGGCTGGGCCCCTCAGGCCTGAAAAGGGCTGAAGAGGGCTGAAGGGGGCTGAAGGGGGTTGATACCCCCCTCCTGGAAAAAATTTCTCCACAGATTATTTTCTCAAGGATCTTGCCAGTGACTGATAGAAGTGACACTTGTATGTAGTTTCTGATTTCCGTTCTACTCTTCTTTTTGTGAACAGGGACTACATTTGTCTTTTTCCACAGAGGCCATTTTCACTGTGCAAAGCAGTGCTAAAAAATGTGAGTAAAAGGTGCTGCTAGCTGGTCTGTACACCTACCCAGAAATCTTGATCTCACTTTACCCTGGGGCCTATAGCCTTTTCTTGGTGCAGTGACCTAAGGAGAAGATGTACTTCATTTTGCCTTATTTTGACCACTGATAACTTTGATACAGCTCTTGAGGCTAGCATAAGTTTCCTTGCTGGATGAGGAACTTGCATCTTGGGGGCAAAGTGTTAGGCAAAGAGGTCAGCTTTCTCCTGACTGCTAGCAGAGACTGTCCCATCCTGCTGATTTAGAGGTGAAATAATTTCATCAGGTAAATAACCTGTCGCTTCTTGACAAGAGATCACCAGGTTTTGGAGCCCAGTCTACCTGATGTCAGTTATCTCTTTTTGTCAGACTCCCATCAAGAAATGCCACACTTATTGACTTCTTCCATTTGCCAATAGGCTTGCCTGTGCAGGTTCCTGTTATAGATAGTAGGATGCCTCTTATACGTTCTCTTTGTATTTAACAACAGCAGCCTCTCAAGAACGAAAGCCGAACCAAGGCTGATCTGAAGGCTTTGTCACATTCTCCCAGTGAGGGATGTATTTTTGTTGGATGGTTATCAACATCACCTTGGAGAAAAGAATTCCAATTGCAGGAAGCGAACTAAGATCAAAAGGCGGGCAAGATTTCCCTTTCCAAGAGCCAGATTGTGTGTGTAAATTCTTCCACAAGTTCTGTTGGAATCTTCAGTGCCGTAAAGACAGCCTTGTGGAATATAGCCAAGGGGTCGGCATGTGACTATACTTTCAGATACATCACTAACCACTGGGTCAAGGGAGGAGCTAGAGATGTGAGTAGGAAAATCAACAAATTTTTCATGTCAAACAATGCAAGAAGTTCATCAAAGTCTATGTGTATAAGATAATAATATCTTTATTTACTACCAGTACATGTACAAGGTATACAGACCATAGTTGACATCAGTGACATACTACTATATAGAAAGCTGCTTGTTATGCTGAGCATTTCCCGAAAATTAGGTCAGTTTTGCCCCACACCAGTCCACTAACACACAGGTACCCATTTTACTGATGTGTGAACATAGACAACCGGTGTAAAGAAACACGCCCAATGTTTCTAACCTCGCCGGGAATCGAGCCCAGACACTCGCCGTGTGAAGTGAGAGCTTTAGCCACCAGGCCACGGGCAACCGTACTTGTTGGTTAAGGTCACCAACAATTATAATACGTTGACATTATGTTGAAGGGTATCCACAGTTTCCACCATTAACCTGATTGACTCTGCATGCTGCTAATGAAGTCTGTATGTTGCGCATGCTAGTACACAGGTACTTGTTTTAAGAACATAAGAACATAAGAAATAAGGAACACTGCAACGGGCCTACTGACCCATGCGGAGCAGGTCCATGTCCCCCCCCCCGTATTAGCCCAATGACCCACCATCCCCGGATTAGCCCAATGACCCACCCTCATCTATGTCGTTTATGTAAATTGTGAACAACAACGGGCCCAGCACTGACCCCTGAGGAACACCGCTTGTGACGTGCCCCCATTCTGATTTCTCCCCATTTATGCAAACTCCCTGCTGCCTATTTGTCAGCCATGCCTCTACCCAGGAAAAAATTTCTCCTCCTATTCCGTGTGCCTTAAGTTTCCTCAATAGCCTCTGATGTGGAACTCTATCGAAAGCCTTACTGAAGTCCATATACACAATATCATATTCAGTACCATGATCTACCTCCTTAAACACCTTAGTGAAAAAAGTTAGTAAATTCGTAAAACAGGAACGCCCCTTTGTAAAACTGTGTTGAGATTCATTAATCAATCTGTGCCTATCAAGATGGCTACGAATTGCTTCGGCAATTATTGATTCCATAAATTTTCCCACTATGGAGGTAAGGCTTATTGGTCTATAGTTCGAAGCCATGGACCTGTCACTTGCCTTGTAAATAGGTATTACATTTACCATTTTCCACTTATCAGGCACTATGCCAGTTTGTAGTGATATGTTAAAAAAATTAGCCAAAGGTATGCTAAGTTCCTCTTTACATTCCTTTAACACCCTTGCAAACAGTTCATCAGGACCTGGGGATTTGTTAGGTTTTAGTTTCTCTTTTTGTCTGAGGACCATGTCACTAGTTACCGCAATCGTACATAGTTTATTATGCATACCTTGAAGAACATCATTTCCAGGGATGGCCGCCTCAGTAAGTTGGGCATGTATACTTTTAAAAAAGTACAAGGCAACACCTCCTCCTTGTTATTGCTTGTCTCTTCTCTTCCACGAAGTGTAGCCAGTAATTCTAGCAAAATCTCTCTCTCTCTCTCTCTCTCTCTCTCTCTCTCTCTCTCTCTCTCTCTCTCTCTCTCTCGCTCTCTTAATATGCACAAAGTTTTGGCTTCATATTCGCCTGAAAATAAATAGATAATAAATATTAACTATTTATTTTCCTAATGCATAACTTATGTTACTGTAACGATATATTTTGTGTGTATTCCAGGCACATTAATTCCATCAACAGTGGATTGTTCTATATATAAAGTGTGTCTCGCATCCGATGTCATAGAGGAAGAATGTCCGACTGCTACTCCGTATTTCAACTTCGAGACGGGAGATTGTTCTGATGACCCTACTGTTTGCTACGAAACTTGTGACCCCTGTGACGTGTACTGCGTGACGGAGGGCAAGATTCCTAATCCACACAATTGTTATGGCTACTTGTACTGCAACCCTCCTGATGTGGCTGTCTTTCTGTGCCCCGATGGCGAGGTCTTTAACCCAGACACTCTCATCTGTGAGAGCACCACAGATCCCTGTGAAAACAGTTGTGCAGACACCACTGGCGCTTATGATGATTCCTGGGACTCGTTTTTGGAATAAGTTTGTGCATGTTTGATATGCGAATAAATGTATCAACTTTTACACATTTTGCAAAAAAAAAAAATCATTTTATGTAAAGCTTCATATAGTGTAATTATCTCATATGAAAATATGCATCCTTTATCCTGATGCCATTGAGATTAGAGAGAAAAGTAAAATGTATGTGATAACGAGTGACTCACTGGCACCAACATGTCTGAGCAAATTCCTTGGTTGACACTTGGCGCTATTGGTCGAAATGTGACTCCACTGGTCAAGACGTGATATATCTGTTCGAGATGTCTTATCACAGATCACTGGAGAATACGTGACACTACTGTTCTAACAGTAACAGAACTACTAGGGAAATACGTTCAGGGAAATATGCTCAGTATTTAGTTTTCTTACCATTGTCACAGAGAACATGTAGTGACAGAGGAATATCAAAGATCAATACTTAACTCTCATAGTGAAACCAAAGCCGTGAACCTAGACTCACATATCACTACTGGAGTCTCTGAGATACAACTTCAACGAATCAGACTTCAAGAAACAGTTCTTAATTAACCTAAAAAACCAACTTTACACAACTTGTACATAATGTCACAGGGAAACTAAATGTACATCAGTCGCTGCACGATCCAAGATAACCATAGTCCCTTGTAACACAGTGCAAGAGATGAAATAAAACATATATATATATAATTTGCTAAATAAAAAAAAAAAGAGCGTACAGAGGCCCAAAATAAGTAAGTTTTATTTAAGTTCTGGGTACATAGCACAGAAACATTTTTACAATGGTCTTAAGGACACAAACGTTACAGACACAAAAAAAATACACTAGAGATGATTTTACTTAGGATACCCAATAAATACAAACACTGAGACTTCTGATCACAAGATATATATTCCAAATATTTCACAAAAGGAAAAATTTATTTAAAAAATCGCCACATTAAAATTTACACAACCTTAAATTAAAAGAAAGCTTCCATTCAAGAAACACATCAGCAGTAAAAATTTAAAACTGATAAGAAGATACAGTCACTAACTATTGGAATGAATATTACTGTATGCTAACAGCACCATTCAACGCAAGTGAAATCACATATCTAGAGAATGTACAGAAAAAAATTACTACACCTGGTATGTCAGTCAAAGCCTTTAATTACTGCGAACTTTTGAAATCCCTTGGCTTGTACTCCCTGAAATGCAGGCGAGAGAGGTACATTATAATCTACACCTTAAAAATCCTACAGGGACTGGAACGAAATCTGCACACAGAATCACTGCCTATGAAATCAAAAGACTAGGCAAACAGTGCAACAGCCTCCTAAAGAAAAGCAAGGGCGCCATGAGTGCACTAAGAGAAAACACTTTAAGCTTCCTGGGCCCAAGACTATTTAACAACCTCACATAATACATAAGGAGAATTACTAATATATTTCTTGCTATCTCTCTTGTCTGATGGCCTATATGTACTCACTCTTTCTCTCCTTTCTGTTAGTGTGACTTTGTAAACGGTACAAGTCGGACCGAAACGTCGTCGCAAGCTCCCCTCTCCTATGTGCGGGTTATTTGTGTATTGATTTCTGGCTGTCTTCAGGAGGAAAATGAACAGATAAAGTCAGCACCCGATCAGCCGGGCTGTGGTTCGTACGTCGTATTGAGTGCAGCCAGCATTAAGAGCTTGGTGGATCAGAACCTGATCCACTGGAAGGCCTGGTCGACGACCTGGTAGATTCCAATTAGACTATTATGCTAACAGCAGCTTCTTGTTGAGATAAGATGTACAAAAAATATATATATAATAAATATTCAAAAACA